GGCCGGCTTCCGGCCTGCGCTCTGCCCTTCCTCGAACGCGAAGCGGGCGGGCCTCAGCCCCCGCGCTCGGACTCCCCCTGGGGACGGCAGCTCACTCGTGCAGCCGCGCTCCGCCCGCCCAGACCTTCCTGAGAGGGTCGTTCTCACGTGCCCGACTCTGGAGAAAGTGCGGGCAGACCTGGTTTTGAGAGTCGCCTCAGTGCTGGTATCCGTGTGGCCGGACTTGGGGTGGGTGGGGTGGTCTGCACGCGCGCGGTGTCCGTCCCCTCGGATCTCCGCAGGTACCTGTCCTGCTGAAAGTCGGAAGTTCTGCACTTGAGGGCTTTCCCTCCAAGGCTAGGCTCACAACTGTGCCTGTGTGTTACCGGGAAAAGGAAAGTAAGAATTATCTCGATTTAGTCACGCGAAAAGAAAAAGAATTTTTGATGGGAGGCAGAAAGTGTGATATAAGCAAGGTTTTTATTAGTGAAGTTAAAAAAAGTAGAAGTATACTCCTGAGAACTGGGAGCAGGCCAATCGAGAGAGGAAAGATGGTGCCGTTTGTTTTTCCTGTTTTTATGCCCCGGTTTTGTGATTGACTGACTGACTGACAACTCAGGTTCCCTGTGCTCTGGTTGATTGGCAGCTCAGGTTCCTTCTGTTCTGGGCTATTCCTTTTCCCCTTCCTCTCCCCCCGCCCCGCTCTCATTTCTATATAAACTACCGAACGTGTGGACTAAGATAATTGAAGTGTCGTTTCTCGGTGCCTCCTGTCTGAAGGGTGTAACAGCGTGCTCAGAAATACAGCAGTCTTCAATTATTCTTCACCAAAATTGACTCCTTTAAAAGCAACCTTGGAAATGGGCTTACTGGCCTGCATACTCGTTAGAAGGCAGTTACATGAAGTAGCCTTCACTTTGGGGGAGGCAGCGTTTGCAGCACGTACTTTGCAGTCGAGTCACTTGTAAATTGAGGGCATTAAACTCTCTGAGGCTGTTGACCCCTTGTAAACTTCGGACCAAGAACGAAGCCTATTTTTAACAAACGAGAATAAGCCATCAACTTCAGGTGACTTGTATTTCTTATTTCATGCAGCAAGCTAAATTGAGAATTAACCTCAGTTCTTAATTTTTGACAACTGCAGAGGTACAGGTCCTAGAGATTGAATATACTATTTACACATCCATGCTTTAGAACTTGGCAACTATGTGTCCACATTTGCTGGTTCTGACGCTGAAGTCTGAGGTAACTGCTGTTGTAATTTTACAGAAAATGAGCCTAATTTTTGACTGTTTAAGAAATATTCTCATCAGTTTATAAGCTTCTTAACTATATGTATATGCAGATTCCATCATAAATTGATGTGCATGAGATAGAGATCACATTTTGTAGTTTTTATAAAACTTGACTAGAAGTTGTAAATTCAGTTGAGAATGCTACAGAACCAGGTTTGTTTTGCCCAGCTCACAGCAAGCCAAACACCGAGGCGCGGAGGTTTGCAGCAAAGGGAGGGTTTATTTATAAGGCAGCCAGGCGAGGGGATGGGAGAGCTAGTTTTGGAGCTGTCTACCCTAAAGCCAAGGGCTCGGGGTATTTCTGGGATGGAGAATAAAGCAGGGCCATTGCGGTGGGAAGCATGGGGAAGCGTGGGGAAGGGGATTGGGGAAAGGTGCAGTAATCGTAAGGTGGGTTACAAGTGATATGGATTTAACTAATGATTACCAACAGTTTTGAGATTAGAGAAAGAACTCTTGAAGGTAGTAGTGGTGGAGGGAGTAAATGGGCTAAAGCTGTTTCGAAAGTTGCTCTTGGTGTCATCTTTCTCCACTATTGCCTGAGTAATATTTGGTTTTCTGGAAATAATAACTGATATTCTAGTACCTTCTATTTGCCAAATTAAGTGCTTTGCACATTTGAACTCATTTAACTCTTACATAATCCAGTGGGGTGGTTGTCATGATTGTTTTTGTCTTTTAGATGAGGGTTAAGTAACTTGGTCAAGGTTGTGGGAGGCAGTAGACCAGGATGTGGACCCAGGCAGTCTAGGTCCAGAGACCAGCTCTGTGCTGATAATGAAGCAGGGTCTGCCAGACTTGGAGCAGGAACCTGGGACTGGCACATAGCAGATTTTCAGGAAATGTTTTGATACTTCTTATTGCTTGGGTTGTTATGTTCAGAGAGGAAATAGCTGGATAAGGATGTTGTCTTGCTAGCAGGTGAACTCTAGCAAGACAGGGATCATCATTTTATTCAGTGGTTTAACCCAGGTCCTTCAACAGTGCCTGGCACATACTGGGTGCTTACTGAATGAATGAATTGCCAAGAAGTTTTTTTTTTAATTACTTAAAAAAAAAAAGACATACAGAATTTATTTCAACCCATTTATAGGAGTTTTATTTCTTTAACGTGCTGTTTTGATAATTTGGTGCATTACTCACCCAGACTGGTTTGGATTTCTCCTGGTCTGGATTATACTTTTGTCAATGAGAGAAAATGAAGGAGTAACCTGTGAGTTTTCTGGTCAAAGGCAAGCAACAGATTCAGTAGATACCATCCCTTTTTGTTCTCAGAGAGAGAGCACTCAGGTGTGTAATTTTAAAGTGTCATTTCTGTTGTGGAGTTGAAGATCCCATTTTTGAAACATAGAAATTGTTTTAAAGTGTGGACACAATGTTAAAGCTTCCTGGGTCTGATAGTGTTAGTGGAGGTAGCAAGGAGAGGTGGTTGTGGAAGGTTTGTTTCTTCAGTTTTGGAAAAAGAACTATTCACTCCTCCAGGCTGCTCAACCAGTGTCCCTACTGAAATTTTACCGCCTTATTTGAGCACATAAAGATTCTTGTTTAAAAGGTTTTTCCTATAGTTGGAAGTAAAGGTTGGGTTGAGAAAACTGTGAGTTTATGATGTGTGATGGTTAGTTTTATGTATCAGCTTGACTTGGCAGTAGCCCTTAGTTATTTAATCAAATACTAATGTAGGTGTTACTGTGATGGTATTTTGAAGACATGTTAACATCTACAATCAGTTGACTTTAAGGAGATTACCCTACATAACGTGGGTGGGCCTCATCCAATCAATTAAAGGCTCAAATTTCAAACTGAGCCTCTCAAGAAGAAAAAAAATCTTCCTGAAGACTGCAGCATCAACTCCTGTCCGAATTTCCAGCCTGCACATCTAACCTACACATTTCAGAATCGCTAGGCCCCACAATTGTGTGAACCAGTTCCTTAAAATAAGTGTCTGTCTGTTTAAATAACCTAATAATAAATTTCCAAAGAAAGAATTGTCTGTTTCTGTAGCTATAGATAAGCCTAAAGATCAGAAGATATAGATATATGCATACGTGTATTTTACTATTGGTTATGTATCTCTGGTGAACCCTGTCTGATTCAGATTTTGGTACTGAGAGTGGTTCTAGAGGAATCTTAAGAATGAGTTTTCAGAGTTGGTTGCGGCATTCCCAGAATTGGTTCTGTAACCTGACAAGATTCGAAGGCACTAAATCTGTGTGGTCGTGTTTTTGATATTGGTTATTCGAATAGGTGTGTAGTGACCTAATTATCACCCCCCCCCCAAAAGAAAAACCTGACAGGTATGTAGTGATATCTCATCTCTTCCAGTCCTGTACTGAATACAAGTGGTGGCAGTGGGCATCCTGATCCTGTTCCAGTTTCAGCGGGAAGGCTTTCGGCTTTCACCGTGGAGCACTGTGCTGGCTGTAGGTTTGTCATAATTAGCTTCTGTTATGTTGAGATATGATCCCGCTGTGCCCACTTTGGTTAGTTTTCATCATAAATGGGTGTTGAATTTTATCAAATGCTTTTTCTGCATCTATTGAGATGATCATGTGATTTTTGTCCTTTCTCTTGTTGATTTGGTGTATCACACTGGTTGATTTGCATATGTTGAACCATCCTGTGTCCCTGGGATGAACCCAACTTGATCATGGTGTATAATCTTTTTTATGTGTTGTTGGATTCTGTTTGCTCATATTTTGTTGAGGATTTCTGCATCTATATTCGTATTCTGTATCTATATTCATCAGTGATATTGGCCTGTAATTTTCTCTTTTTTTGTAATATCTTTGTCTGGTTTTGGTATCAGAGTGATGCTGGCCTCATAGAGTGAGTTTGGAAGTGCTCCCTCTGCAGTTTTTTGGAATAGTTTCAGGAGGATAGGTGTTAACTCTTCTGAAATGTTTGGTAGAATTGACCTGTGAAGCCATCTAGTCCTGTACTTCTGTTTCTTGGGAGTTTTTAAAATCACAGATTTAGTTTCATTATTGATAACTGGTCTGTTCATACTGTCTTTTTCTTCCTGGTTCATTCAGCCTTGGGAGATTGTACCTTTCTAAGAATTTGTCCATTCCTTGTAAGTTGTCCATTTTATTGGCATACAGGTAATGTAGTAGTCCCTTATGATCCTTTGTATTTCTGTGATGTGGGTTGTAACTTCTCCTTTTTGATTTCCGATTTACTGATTTGGGCCCTCTCCCTTTCACTCTTGGGGAAAAATGATGAGTCTGGCTAAAGGGTTATTAATTTTGTTACATTTTCAAAGAACCAGCCTTTAGTTTCACTGATGTTTTCTATGGTTTATTCAGTCTCTATTTCATTTATTTCTGCTGTGATGTTTATAATTTCTTTCCTTCCTCTAACTTTGGGTTTTGTTTGTTCTTTTTCTAGTTCCTTAAGGTGTAAGGCTAGCTTGTTTGAGATTTTTTTCTTGTTTCCTGAAGTAAACTTCTATCACCATAAACTTCCCTCTTAGAACTGTGTTTGCTGCATCCCACAGATTTTGGATTGTTGTGTTTTTGTTTTCATTTGTCTCTGGGTATTTTTTAATTTCCTCTTGGATTTCTTCAGTAATCTGAAATTATTGAACTGATTTGTTATATAGTAATGCATACAATACTGTTTTACTTGTGGGGGAAGTTGTGTCTAGAAAGGCTAAGTAATTTGCTCAAAATAATACCACTGTGAACTCCATTGGGCCCATCTTACTTCAGAATCTATGTTCTTTTAAAATTATACTGGCTTGTCTTTCTGACAAAATTTTAGCTATCTGGAAAAGTCTCTTCTCACCAGCTAATAACATGTGATTTATAGTGTTACATAATTTAGTCTAAAAGCGTTTAGAATAAATGATACTGATGTCAACTCTTCATCAGACCTTAACATTTGTAATAAGTAACAACACTATTGTGATGCCTGTTAGTTTACAAAAGCACTTTTTTATTATAATTTTCATGTAATTCCTGCATCAACCTATGAAGTAATCTTTGTTTTACTATGCCTTCAAAACGTTAGGGCCCAGATCTTTTGCTTCAGATCTGATGATTTTTCTGTTACACTAAACTGCTTCTTAGAAGAATGACAGAAACCCTACAAATACCCTTTTTTTAGCGATAAAATAGCCTCACCATCTCACCCTCCATGCTGTCTGCTGGACTGGTTTACTGTATCATGTTTAAGTGATGTGTTTCAATGAAACTTTAAAATTGAACTATACCTTAACATTAATTTCTGTAGACTTGGTAGCAGTGTCCGTCCTTTTACTTCCTAATAGTTAATGATTTATTTTTAAATGGATTGGTTTAAAATGGAAATCTATGTATAATCTTCGTTTTTTTTAATCTAGTCTCTGTAGAAGCTGAAATCCATCAAACTCCAGTCTTCAAAATGCAATGGAACGTACCAAAGACTGTATTCCACCTGGCACGTAGGACATGCATGGAGCCACATAAAGCCAGTCTTCTTGGACACTGTCAAAACTCAGAGGGACCATTATTTTTGTATAACTCGGGATCCAGAGTGGTTTGGGTACAAGGCCCTCAGAAACAGTGGCTGCACTTATCTGCTGCCCAGTGTGCTGCGAAGGAAAAGAAGCCATTCGTTGCTCATCCACCCCAATCACGGGTCCGTCACCGTAAACAGTGGGACCGAGAGACCTTACCCAAGAGGAGTCTGTCATCCACCGCCACGCCCCCGGGAGCTCCCTCGGAAAAAAAGGAGGAACCTGACCCTTTACAAGACAGATCTATTAGTCTTTATCAACGATTTAAGAAAACATTTAGACAATATGGAAAAGTGCTGATTCCAGTGCATCTAATAACTTCTGGTGTTTGGTTTGGAACATTTTATTATGCAGCCATAAAGTAAGTTTTTGCTTGACTGAGTGCCTTTCCCTGTTTTTTCAGAATGGTAATCTTCTTAGTTGTACTAATGAAAACCTTTAAATAGTTTTTTAAATGCTTTAATGTCTTCACTTGATAGAGGGTGGCTGCTTTTCATGGTTGTTTTCCACTTTTCAACAATAATAGCTAACATTATTTATTGTGTACAGAGGGCATTATGCTAAAAATTTTTAACTGTATCATCTCATTTAATCTTCACGGCAACCATATGAAGCAGGTAGTACTTATTTTGTTAATGAGCAAACAGATTAAGCAAGAATAAGTCAAAATAACTTAGTATTTCCCAAAACACTTCAGAGTCTGATTTCAGATCTTAATCACTCTGCTCACATCCCGTCAACATCTAGGAAAATGCAGAAATAAAATACCAGATTCTGGAAATTGGGCAGCACAGGCAGTTAGTTCCATACTTACATGGTTCTTAAAGTGTTTATAAATGTGTGAAGAGTTTGCCATAAGTATGATTTTGGTTGGAAATGAAGCCTGGCTAATACCTACTGCAGACACAAAAGTGAACAGGTCACAGACTTACGCTTTAATGTTTCTCGCATCTGATGAACGTCAAGGTCAGGTCTTTGTTCTGGTCAGAGGTTGGTTTGCTGTGCACTTGAAATCTTGGGAAGAGAGCAGATCTCGTGTGAGGTATTTTTACCACAATAAAATAGATGTTTTTTAAAAAGTTAGTTTGGTGGGCCTAGCCTCTAGGTATTAGAATTTCTCCATGTACCTTTCTTGTTAAATGCTGTGCCTTTTTTTAAGGTGAGCTGTAGTATTCACGCTGTTTCAGGAGCCAGGAGCTCATGCAGAAGCAGATGCCCGGTGACTCCGTGTGTCTCTGCCACCAGCAGGGCTGAGCATGCTCAGTGTTGTTGTTCTTGCTGTGACCTGGGTGTGACCGAGCGAGCAGTGTGCTCACCGTCCTGCAGGTGACGAGATGGGCAGTGGAGACCACTGTGATGCTTTCGTAAACACCCCTAACGATTTATAATTATTTCATACTTTCCAAAAGCCCACTGACTTTCAGTGTTATAGTCCATGGTTTGTATTAAGGCATTAATGAAATATCTTACTATAAAGCTCACTCCTTGGAAAAAGTTACCATTTACTAAATTAAGAGTTGATGGAATGGAGACTGTTCTTATTCTTGGGAAACACGGGCTTAGAAATAGTTCTTCACAGAAGTTCTAAAAGGATTTTTTAACCTCGTGTGACCAGTGCTGTTGTTTCTCTTCATGTCTCTCTCTCCGTTTATGCTCCTGTTACTAAGTTATTTCCTCCTCTATGTATCACATTAAGAACTGTTCCTTTCTTTGCAGAGACCCTTGTATGTGCATTTTGTGGAATTATCTCTTTATTAATGACATTTGCTCCAACACGTGATATTTATAGAAACCTTAAGAACTGCCCTTAGTTTTTTTTAACAGCATAAAATCGTTTACCATTTTGCATAAAAATTTCATAGGCATTCAGTTCTTCTGTTTAACTAACGGCTTTCTGTACGGTAAAAACAATTTTTTTTTTATCCTTTGAGGGTTTTTCTGAGTCAGTTTTGTGGAGGATAGTGAATTTCTTCTGTGTTTCTTTTGCCCTCCTTAGGCTGCCTTTAATAACCATTCGGCCTCTTGCCCTTAGAGGGAGAAATCTAAGTTTCTAATTAATTGAATTGGAGATTCTCAATTAGACTGTTTAAAAGAGTATTTTGTTCCTCGCCTTCAGTTAGCGAGTTCTGTAACTGAAAAAGCAGACCCCGAAACAGCCTCGTGATACTCAGACTGAGCACTTCTCCATTGCTGTCTAGCACCGAAGCGGTCGTGGTGATGTTCTGTCCCCTGTGGAATGCGCCTTTGGTTTTGCCCTTCCCTCTTTTTTTCTGTGAATGCTTGTGTGTAAACATGGTGGTGTAAGGCTGTCCACCTTAAGGTCATATCCCTTCTCCACCACAGCCTGCCTTTGGCTGTTTGTCAGCGTGGGATTTTGGTTGCCAGACCTACCACTGCTGCCCAGCCACAACCACTGGTCCAGTTCTGTGACAGCATCTTGTACCTAAGTTACATTATGTAGGATGTGCTGCTTCCCAGAACAGTCCTTCTTAATGTTTGTATTAAATCCTTAATACTTCAGAAATTGAAATTGAAATTTCATTTGCTCTAAGTGAAGGTCTTATCAAAAACGATACTTAGAAAGTAAGGATTTAGGGTATGTTCAAGTAGCAATGTATCTTGCACTGTGAGATGATTTAATTGTAAATTTAGAGTTGATTCTGTTAAATACAGGTTTTCAATTCAGCTAACCAGGGGCTGGCTTTATTTTATTCGGTTTTAGCTGGAGAAAGTTCTCTGTTGCTTACTTGCTATTAAAAGAAAAAATGAAAAACAGTTTGTAACTTGAAGTGTGGGCATTTGATGTCACTTGGCACTAATGACCAGTGTTTGTTTCAGTCACTGACGACTGGCGTTACTGCCTCATTGGGCACCACAGAGCAAAATGCCATCTGTTTGTTTAGCTCACATGGTGATAAAGGTCTCAGGCTTCTGAAACATTTCAGGGAGGTCTAAGTCGTGCATGCTCACAGATCTTATTTTAAACTAAGCTTTGCTGCCACTCTGGAGAGTTTGCAGAGATCGTACATCTTCTAACGAGAAGTGTCTGTTGGATCAAGTGGCGCTGCAATGACAGTTTTGTCCCGAGCTGGGGCCTCGAGTCTCTGAAGTTACAGGCCCACTGTGATGCAGAGCCCTGGCCGATTGTCCTGCATCCAGGGTGGACGTGCTCCTGCATCTGTGGGACCACCCAGAAAGCTGGCACTTGTGAAGCACAGGTGTCTGTCGGGCCGCGGGACCTTCAGTGTGAAACGTGAGACAAGTGGATATTACTCTTTGGATCAGACCCTCATTAATACTTTGTATTTAGTAATTCCAAAGGAAGTGAAAGTTACTTGTATTTTTCAGAAAATTAAGTCATCAAGTTAATAGCTGAGATAAGTGGAACCAGGTTCCTTTATTTTACATGGAATACTGACGCAAGAGGTCTGAGGTTATAATTGTTTGTCTTCGTGATAGTTTTTTTTAAAAGTCACTTAATTTTGTCTTATATTATCCAGATGTTTGTCTTTTTTCTCCCTTGCATGACTGCTGTTAAATCTGTGGATTTTACATACCACGCTTAGTCTGAGCTAGGAAATGATTAATGAGAGAACCTGATGGTTGTGTTGGTACCTGAAGCCAGGGCTGGATGAGCGTGTTGTGGTGGACGTTCCTGCGACTGTGTTAGTTCCACAGCTGAGTCTTGCTTCAGGACATCCTGTTGTTATCTGAGAGAGAGAGGTGGGAGGAGGAGCTGATGGCGCTGAAAGAAACAGACTGGACTTGTAGTTGATGTTTAACTCTGTAGAGTCTCCTTCCGTTACCTGGTTCCCTCCTTAGACAATAGGAAACGCTCCTTGATTATGAGCAGCCATATTATTGAGAGCAGTCCCTGGTCCGTTAAGTGTTGTGACATCAGAGACAGACAGCTTTTCCCCATTTTTTTAGTATTAAGAATAAGCGAGGAGGTTATAACCACCATAATTAGAATGCATCCAGGCAGCTCCCTCTTCAGTACAAAGGGGACGAGCACCTGCACAGAGGAGCAGCCTGTGGATTCCACCTTAACCCAGAGTCACTCCCCAGGGATGGATCAGATGGACCCCGTGGCTCCCATTACGATGCTCCGAGATGGACCAGAGTCTGCTCTGCAGCTTTCCCATTGGAAAGCACTTAGCCCGAGTCGGCTCGTGAGGAGGCATTAGGACAGGTCCACATCCAGGGCAGTTCCTCCACACAGCTGGCCTGGGAGCTTCAGAAACCTTGACACGAAAAGATGGCCTGCCACCTCCTCAACAGAGAGTGCTGGGCAGCACTTGTGGAGGAAAGAAGCTGGAAGACGTGATGAGACAGTGACAGGGGACACGCGGGACAGTCAGGGAACTTCAGCATTGAACAGTGTGCCGTCGTGTTAACTACATCCTGTACAGAGTCAAGGCTCCTAACTGTGGTGATTGCTGTGCTTTACGAAGGAGAAGCACAGAACAGAGACTCGTTGGCTGGGGGTGAAGGTTCCTGGCGGCTGCAGAACTACACACTGGGAGGAGAGGGCAGCGCCAGCGTGGCGAGCTCTTGACACTCGGGGAAACTGAAAATAAATGAGGGTTTAACAGTTCAGGTGACAGACTTTCTCTGCCTTCTCTTCCTCCCTCCAGAAATTTGCTGTAATTTACGGTCATTGCTTCTTCACCTGCCCTTTAAGTCTGAACAGAAGCTTCCTTTCAGAATAAGTGAAATTTGCATCAAGCCCATGGTCATTTGTTCTTTGCATGGTAACTCAGTAAGTGATGTCATAGTATCGCTTGCTTTTACAGTAACAGTATAATTTGACGTATAATTTTAGAGGTAAAAATCTTAGGTCTGGAAGTTTGAGTTGGAGCATTCTAAGGAACTAAAGATCGTAAGGTCAGGTGAATGATTCTGATCCTTTTCTCTTAGGTTACTTACTGCTGTTGATTTTGCTGTGATAAATGATGTCCGTGAGCAGAAGTTGTAAACAGTGAGACACGGCAGGACACTGACGTTCGGGCAGTATTGTTCAATGATGCAGAATTAACTTTTAAACAAAATTGGGTTTTGATGTTTTCAGATAATCTTTTAAAAGTACTTATCACCAAAAATTTGTGTGTATGTATATGTGTGTATATGTATGTAAATTGTTTTCTGTTTCTTTCTTAGAGGAGTGAATGTCGTTCCCTTTCTAGAACTTATTGGGTTACCTGACAGCGTAGTAAACATTCTGAAAAATTCCCAGAGTGGAAACGCACTGACAGCATACGCCCTGTTTAAGGTAGGTGCTGCTGTGGCCTGACCGCTCCTCACTGAGCCAGGCCAGCTCCCAGTGGCTGCCTTCATCTCTATATGCCTCATGTCTCAAGTAAAGTGTACAATCTTTAAGTGTAAACGGAATGGTAATTTGGGAAGAAATGCCTTAAAAATAGGTAGATTGTTGATAGCCTGCTGATAGTTGCAGCATGTGGTCCTCTCTCTTGACATTTCTCCTGTCGGTAGTAAGTTGCTTTTCCTTACTCAGATCCATGCTAGTGAAATTCAGCATTTATTTTGCTGTTTATGTTTGTCTTCCTAAAGAGGAGACGTTTAATTCAAGTTGCTTTATGTCGTAGCCCTTAGACTTAGTTGTTGATGTTATGTTTCATTGTCTTTACAGCTGTTCTCTGAATTCAGAGAGTGACATCTGTAAGTCGTTTTTACACCTTTCGGTCTTAGACAAGGAGACTTGTAAGTTGTAGAATTTAGCCATATTCATGTAGTTTTTCTCAACTGAAAAACTTTATGAGGTTCCATGAACCTTCATCCTAAAAAAAACAGGTAGAAAATATTTGGAAACTAGATGTTATTTTACTTCTGTTGTATAAAAATACTTAGAATTATGGGTTTATAGTAGTACTCAAAAATGACATTTTATTCTGTCATCTTCATTAAAATCCTCTTAAATGTTGAGAGACTTCTTTTATGATAATTTTGACTAGGGGGCCACGGCCCAATTGCTGAGTTTTTCAACATTAAAACTTACTGAATTCATAAATTAGCAACTTTTAGTTGTCTATAATATAACCTTAGTGAGTCGAACTGTCGTGATGGTTTAAGCCATTCCCCTAATTATAACGGCTCCTGACCCCATGCCGTCCCCTCAGTGCATGTTAGGTTTTGTTCAGTGTCTGTTGTCTTCACTGGATTGTGGGCCCGCAGGGGTGCAGAGCCATGTCATCCTGCTGTCCGTGTCTCCATTGCCTTCGTTTTCTGAGATGCACACGGCGGGGAGTGGAGCAGGGCTGGGGTAGGACTGTTGACCATCCACGGGTCAGTTTTGGACAGACAGCATTTTGAGATCCTCTTGGACACGTGGGTGTACTGAGTAGGCAGTGGTGTTTGCTGGAACTTAGGAGAACTTGAGTGTAAGAGTCACACAGATGGTGCTGCAGACAGGCTGCTGGATGAGACCGCGTGGGAGTGTAGGAAGAGGGGTTGGTGGTCTGGATGGCGCCCCACGTGTCCAGAGCTGGCTGCCTGAGGACGGATCAGCAGGGACTGGAGAGGCAGCCCCAGCTGGGAGGAAACAGGGAGGGGCCCCAGGGGCAGAGGGGAGGTGGCCTCACATGTTTGTTGTGGAGTGGGACCCCCTACGGAGTGCAGGGCTCCTGACTGGAGCAAGTTCTAGGGGGAGTGAGGAGGGAACTGGAGCCTGGCGTGGGGGTGGCACCTCGCCAACAGCCTCAGAGCAAGGCACAGCCCCTAGGCTCTGAGCATTTACCTTTGTGTCCATCCGTCTGCTGTTTTGCTTCGGTCTGAATCTGTCAGGTTGGGCCTGTGCGTGTCTCCTGCGTGTGTGCTGCTGGACCACTTTCTGGTCTCCCACAAGTTCCTGGCTGGGATTCTAGACCCAGCATGGACTGTAGTGAGAAGGTAGTGTAATGTCTGGAAAAGTCAGGGAAAAGAAATCCAAAAGTGAAACTGAAGTAAACTGAGTGAGGAACACGTTTGGCCCATGCTTGCCTCTCACTTGTGGTTCCAGTTTAGACACACAGCATGCGGTCGGCAGGGCCTCAGAGGAGTGGGAACACAGTGCCTTTGTTGATGGGAGGGCCCTGAGCACTCCCCCCCGGTTCCCAGTGACCCTGCCACCACCACGTTCACTCGCACGTGGTGACAGACTTTGGTGCTGCCGCTGAATGTTCCACAACCCTGGGTCAGTGTACAGGTGAGAGATACTCACAGCATATTAGGCAGAAAAACCACGTAGGCTGTAATTGTAGCCTCGTGAAATAATAAAGTGAAGCTCATGAAACTAAATAAAATTTATAGTTTGGTCACTAGCAAGAATTTCAGCGTCGCATTGTTTTTGCTTGAAACAGTAGTCGTCATCAGTGTCAGTCTGCCCGTTTGCTGTCCCTGCAGATCGCAACGCCTGCCCGGTACACAGTGACTTTGGGGGGCACGTCCTTCATGGTGAAGTATCTGCGCAGCCACGGCTACATGTCGACGCCACCTCCGGTGAAGGAGTATTTGCAGGACCGGATGGAGGAGACCAAGGAGCTCCTCACGGAGAAGATGGAGGAGACCAAGGACAGGCTCACTGAGAAACTGCAAGAAACCAAGGGAAAGGTTTCCTTTAAGAAAAAAGTGGAATAGCGTGCCTTATGTAGCAGGTTACAGACACTTACGCTCTTTACCCTTGGGAGGATATGGACAAAGATACACACACCTGAGATTTCTGGTTAGCAGCCCAAATACAGCAGCTCTCTGAGGGTTAAAGAACTAAGATAAGGTTGTAAAGGTGAACATCACGAGAAGAACCAGGGGTTTTTGAAAAGAAAGAGTGGACCCCGAATAAGAGTTTCACACCAGGGGCGGCGTCGAGAGCGGGCTGAGGGCCCGTGTCTCCTGCATCAGCTCTTCTCCGTCCTCCAGTTGTCCTTGCTGCTTCGCAGCTGCAGCTGCAGCTGCGGTTCACGCGGTGGAGGTGCGGATTCCTTGTGTCTCCGGTGTGGCCACGGAGTTCACGCTGGGCCTCCCTGATGTTCACTGAGGTTTCAACTGTATGCAGCTCTCAGAATGGAGGCAGAGTATTAGCATCAGGACTACCTGTGAATAAGAGGATAGTGAGTCTATGAAAACAGTGTGTAACAGTTAGTACCACTCAGTGTGGACTCTAATGAGGAAAGCTGAGTCATGTATTTGTAAATAAGATGTATGGGTTATATGTAAATGAAAAAATCGACCCTTTGAAAATGATTTTTACCTGAAGCTTGTCATAATCAGATTTTTAAGCAAATCTGTCACTGTCACACTTTCTCACCCAGAACATAAGACTCTTACTTGTGCATCATGTCTAACTGAGCTGAGTTCTCAGAGGAAGAGGGGAAATCATTACACCTTAAGTTTACAGCTGAGCAGCGCCCAGAGCACTGCTGGTTTGGGGGCCGGGACCCCGCTGCTGCCCGGAAGGCCGTGGTCTCCACCAGCCGCAGAGTTAGGTTTAAGGCTGTAGCTGCTGCGTTCCCCTTGAATTGAAACAGCCTTACTTGAGCATTTTACTTGAATTTTTTTTAATAACAAAGGTATCACTTAATGACCTGTTTGGAAAGAAGTTCAGTTGTGAGACGTGTGCTTGAGGCTGTTCGTGTTCACTTTCTCCTCTGCCTCTTCAGTCCTGACCCTGAGTGGACACCAAGGAGGGAGTGCCTCTTTCCAGACTGCCATTGTTGGGAATGTCGGGGGCTGCCAGGACCCATCCTGCAGGCTCACTGCTGTTTGGCAGGGGTTTTGTGTTAATACTTTCAATTTGGCCAAAGTGAGAATACTTTAAAGGGAAAAAAAGGTTTACATTTGATCCATCTAATCATTATGCTGGAGCACTTTTTAAATGGATTTGGACTCTTCCTTCTCTTGGTGGTCAGGGCAGGCCTGATGAGGCAGAGTGGTTTGTCTCCTAATACAGATCGAGTGCGTGGTTTCACGTTAGCAGCACGTTTTCGGGCCTAAAAACAGTGAACATGTTCTAGCTTGTTTATCAAATAAAGCGCGTTTTTGCCGGTATTAAATGCTAAGATACTAACCGCTTGAGAGTCCTGTTTTAAAGTTATGTGCTGTATGAAGCTTTCTTCTAAAACAATTTCCTTTGACTTTTCACGTTGCACAGGGTGTATTTCCAGTGCGGATAAACTGTGGGTCTTGGAAGCGCTGATAACCCTGAGTGTCCACCTTGGGTTGAGCCTGCTTGAGATTTGTCGCAGTCCAGTTTCATAGTTGTGTTGCGTTTACCTAGTTCCAGAAGGCGAGACATTGGGGAAGGCTTTGAAATTCTCCAGTAAAAAGTCCTCTGGAAGTGTGAGAGGTCCTTTGCCATGACTGGGCAGCAGGAACCTTTGATCTTGTCAGATGCTGCTGCTGTTGCTGAGCTCGTCCTCGGGGAGCTGCGAAGGGCCGACGTGGAAGGTTCGCAGCAGCCGGCAGAGCACCGGGCACGTCGAATCAGATTATCAAGGGTGTGTGTCTGGTCAGTACACGGTCTGCGGTGTCCTGCGAGCCCCCTTCACTTAGGCTCTGGATTAATTCGCCCATGACTTCTGCGGGCTGTTGACAGGGTAAAGGGGGTGACCACCGAGATTTAACATCTATAAAATGGATGAAGTGTTCGCTCTGAAACTAGCAAGTGAAGTGAAAAACAGGTAAAAGACTTAGTTTATTCAAGAAAAACAGCAGAACCCACCGTTTAAGGTACCAGAAACAACATTTTGCATACGACAGGGTGCTGTTTGCAGATTCCAACAAAGGAGAAAGTATTAAGATCACCTTCCTGCCACTAGTGAAAGAAAACTATGCCTTCAAAGATATCTTCAGTTTATTTGTTATAGAAGCTGCCTTCCATTTATTCACAAATGGAAGATATACGCTAGTCCTTTTTGCTCCAAGAGGAAATGGAGCAATCTCAGAATATAGTTCTGGGAATTCTCTAAAGATTAACGTCTGGGCAGGAGAGGTGTTTGAAGAAAAGAAGCAAGCTGTACATGAGGCACGTCCAGCTCTTCCTGTGTTCTTTCCACTCGGTTCAGGCCACCTTCAGGGTTTCTTGACCAATTCAGACACTGCAAGCAAAGCCACCCTAGACTGTAGGATGTGGCAGTGAAATGGACAGGTGTTTTAGCAAATGAGGAAGAATGCATGCATCTTTTCTGGTATCTTTGAGAGGATACTGGTTTTGTAAAAACGTATTTGTGAGCTATACTGTGAGATACGCATTTCTGAATTACTGAAGGACTCTGAAAAATTCCTGCTTTCACCGTAGGAGAGGTGTATTTCTGTTGGCTACGGTTTTTTCTTTTTAAAAATTTTTTATTGAAGTGTGGTTGACTTACAATGTTCATTTCAGGTGTACAGCAGAGTGGTTCGGTTCTACATATACATACGTATGTATTTTTTCTTTTCAGATTCTTTTCCGTTATAGGTTCTTGCAAGAAACTGAATACAGTTCCCTGTGCTGTAAAGTAGGTCCTTGTTGTTTATCTACTCTATAGTAATGTGTGTTACAGTTCATTTTGTTTTAAATGAGGACTTTCATTTATTTCAGATTTTCAAAATTGAATCTCCATAAGGAAGCCCTAAACTAAAATAGATTGTTACTCGCATTGGTTTGAAGTATTTTTTGGTATTAGAAGCTTACTTGATTGGCTATTTCCGCACTGTGGTCTAGGGTGCATCAGATCACACAGACTTAGATGCCAGAGTCGCGTAGGAGTGACTACACTTCAGTAGAGTAAGAACTGGAAAAAAAAAAAAGCAAGTATGGGCCTCTCTGCCATCTTGGAATTTCACTGTCTGAACCAGGAATCTGTAGAACCAGAGGTGGGTGCTCTTAATCATTCGTTCTGCAAATAGGTGCTTTGTTTGGCTTTGCTTGTATGCGCCTCTTGAGTACAGGGTTTGAGATCATGTAATGATTTGAAGCACATTTCGACTACTTTGTATCGTATCAAATTTGAGTCAGTGTTTTCTTTGGACACTTAATCTGGTGACTTAATTGTGGCTGTTCCGTGAGTCTCCGACAAGAGGCTCCTTGGACTCCCAGGTGCCAGAAGTGGGGTCTGCGTCACCTCCGGCACTGACGGGGTGGCCTTCACCTGGTCTGGAGGCGAGCTGCAGGGCACGGTGGCCGTGATGTGCACGCCCCACTTGTTTTGGTTTAGAGCTAAGAGACAAGTCTTAGTTCCCCAAAGTAGTTGAAAATATTACCAAACATATGTCCATAAAACCTAGTGGAACTTCTGTTGAGAAATCTAGACCATTTAGTAACTGCATTATATTGGAAGCATTTTAGATTAAGCGAAATTTCCTGAGTCACAGAGCCCCAGGCCTGCAGAGGATCTATGCAGGGCTTTGCTTCAGAGGGTGGCTTTAGAATGTGGAGGCCAGGGGCTTTGGTTGAAGCGGCACAGGAGAGCTGAGTCTGAAGTGTGGACTTCAACTCCCAGCACAGTGTTTCCCCTCTCGTGTCAGGAACTAAGGGTAAAGCCAAGTTGATGCTCTGAAACTTTTAAAATCCTCCGTGTCTTGAGCTGAAGCCAGTTTATTAATATCCCTTACCCTCTGTCTGCTGGCCCTCTTCTTTTCCCTTTTAACTCCCTAATTTTCTGTAATTCTTTCCTTAGAGCGGTAGGAGGGTGGGGGGTGGCTACTCTGAAATCTTGTGGCTGCAGAGAGGAGGCCGCATCCGTTCCTCCTGCGAGACAGGAGAATCTGCTGGGCCAGCTCTGAGCTGGCGCCCCCCCACTGCCCAGCTGGACCTTGGCTCTGCGCCCAGGAGCTGTTTTCAAACACCAACATCCATACCTGAGAGCAAGTAATCAAAACCGTGGAATTAGACCTAGTCTTCATACATCTGAACCTATGTGCTATTTCATGATCCAAAGAGGATGTGACCTCAGGAAGTTACAGTGGTCCCCTTGGTAAAAAGGGAGTCTGCTTTTCCTACTGCCCCCGTGCAGAGGGTCAGGTGGTGGTCACGGCGTCTGAGCCTGTGACGCTTGGAGCAGCTCAGACGGGATTTCCTGTGTACTTGGGGCCAGAAGCACTGGAGCTAGCAACCGTGTGTAGACAGACTCCTGGTGGGTTTGCTGAGCCGTCAGGTAGGAATCCTGTGCGGAACCTTCCCCGTGACGAAAGTGTGCACCAGCTTTACCTTCCTGAGGGAGGGCGTGGGGCAAGTCTCAAAGGACTCGCTGAGGGAGAGACTGGACGCCGCTCCAGAGCACCGGGCATTTGTGGGAGCTTTCGGATGGGAGGCTCGTCGTGTCCCTGACGAAGGGTTGGGGGCCACTCTCTGCAGGTTGTTGGTGAGGCCCGGCCGCACCCTGATGCTGGGTCCAGGAGCAGGGAGCCCGCCCGTCTCCTCCAGGCGGGAGCTGTGCTCAGACCAGCTCTGCTCCCCCTCCCTAAAGAAAGGAGGCCAGCACAGGGGAAACGGGGAAGGTGGGAAGTTAAAAGTTTCAACTATTTATGCTCCCTTTGGATTTTCATTTTATTCCTAAGGCTGTAAAGAACTCCCACCCCCAACACACACCGCGCAGTGCTCATTGGAAAGACTGCATGTCTGGAGTGATGGGGAAGGAAACAGGCATATTGTACTTGAAACCCATGGGGAGGAGGCTGGGGGCCGGGGCACTCAGTCTCTGCCAGGATGTGGGCCCCACAGCCCTGCGTGCTGCTCACTGTGGCCGCGCTCAGGGCAGTGCGTTTCCAGCGGCCATGTTGGTGGGCTGAGTGCCGTCTGCAGGCGGGCAGTGACCGGGAGGCCTTGCTGGGCCTGCGCAGGACGAGCACACCCTCCCATCTTCCCACTGGTGCCAGTGCCCCTGTTGTTCACGTGACACTCGGAGACATCGACTTGAGACAGAGCTAATGCTTGAGCCGCCCGCCCCCAGGTCTTCCAAGCCCATGCTGCCCCTGAACTGCAGGCAGGAAATCCTGTCGAAGCAGGCCCTCAGGGTCCCCCAC